AGTTGAGAAGTGACTGGTGGTCGCCAAAGATTGAATCATAAATACCTGTACTTTTGGAGAAATATCTTAACATTGACTTCACATGATTACATTTTACATCATGTTTACAACATCAAGACTGATTTTTCTCCTATGGACTTAACAGTAACACAGAAAAGAAGAAACAGAATTCCAGCTGTAAAAGTGGTTTGTGACTTCTGGTGTTCCTGCAGCCAGCCTCAAACAGACCCTTGATGAACTGCAGAGTTTTGCACTTCCACATTGGCTTCATTTTTCAACTCTGGAGGTTGCTGCTTGGTGACAACAGGACCTTAATCCTGGGCGGGCCTGCCCGCAGGAATAGTTCAGGCCCCTGTCAGTCCCAGAGAATGGCCCCTCCTTAGATCTTAAATTATCATAGCATGTTAGTTGGATAAGTGGCGTTAGCGCTAGCCTCCTGGTTAACATTGGTCTCCTCCGTCTGGCTCCAATCAGCTTGTGGAGCTGACAAAAAGCTGAAAAAAGTAAAAGGTTATTGTTGGGAACAAATGCCGTAGCCCGTTCCCTCCTTTTCTTCTTTGGCATCCATTCTCTTTTCTTTTTTTTTGCTAGTGTTGGTTTGGCTAAATCAGTCTGACATTACTGGCTGAACAGTTCAGTTCAATGGGCCGCCAATGACACTAACAACACTGGAAAAAAAGAAGATTACACTTTAAAACAGACTTCATTTTACTGACGCAACCAAGGATAAACTGTGTATTTTGTTCCTTTCGAATAAAATGTATTTGATGATTAAAATAAGGATGGAGCATGTTTTTGCTCACCTCTAAGGCCCCCCCCATGCAGCCAGGCCCCTTGAAAGCATTCCCCTCACCCTCCCCTTGTGGGCGGCCTTGCTCCTGCATAACACCATCATTGACTGAAGTGTTCACGTTGGATTGCACTGACCGAACAGTAACCACAGCTTTTTCTGTCAGAGTATGTTTTTAACACTAGTGTAGTATAGTGTGCTGCTGACAACATAATCACACTGACATGTTTCCACCCCACAGACTCCGAGGACAGCAGAACGAAAGATGCAGGAGGTGAGAGAGAGTTTAGTTTGAGCAAACACTGCCACCTGGTGGATAGACTCTGCAACGTCAGCATCAGCACAGACAACGTGATGATGAACTTGGAGTCTCTGCTTGTTTCTGTTGGTGATATTTATTCTGTGTTGCATAAGAACTAAAACATACATTTATTTAAAGTCATTTTTACTGCTTCATAATTGTGTGAATCATGACAAATTCAACATTTGTTATATTTGGGACCTCAGAGGTCTTGTGAGAAAGAACAAATGTATATTCTTTAGAACAGTGTTTGGCTGCATGGTGCTGGATTCAATTGACCGGCTGCTGGATAGTGAGTTATGTGTTTAAGGTCATATTCCAGCGGGGAAAATTTTAGTAGTCCAAACTTTAAAAGCAGTACAAATAATGCAGGCATTTTCACCTGCAAAAACAAAAGACAGGATAAGACTTATATAATGTGGGAAAGCTAAGTATGTTATACGTTTCTGGTTTAATTTTATACTTTTATTTATCTGATATAGCTTCCTGTTTTATTTTGTTGTTTCCTTCCCAGGTGTTTCATATCTAGTTTTACCTCCTGTCCTTGTGTGTTTTGCCCCAATTCGATTGGTCTCATCAGCTTTACCTATCTAGTTTGTCACACCTGGTTTTTCTTACCTCATGTCCATTTAAAGGCTTTATATCCGATTTTTCACACTCAAATGTAGCAGAAATCAAGTATATCCTCTGAAAATAACTCATGACTGTCTACAATGAGTGTAACACCTGAGTCCCACTGTCTGTGATGTTTTCAGAGTTTTCAGAGTCCCATCTTCAGTTTGTTTACATCGCCGTGACGGTCCGCCGGCTCATCCCCTCGCGTAGAAAGGTTGTTTAATTGAGGGACTAGAGAAAAGAAGAATAACATACTGTAATCACTGCTTATTTGAATGTCACCTAAGTATTTCTAGATTACGGTCATTTCAGGTCAATTTAAATGCAGTGTGAAGATACGAGCATAATAAAGATCCCTAGCATTAGCATGCTAACACAAAAATGCAGTGCAAGTTGTTTTGGTTTCATGCTGGTGCTCAAGGGCGTCTCTCCATGCATCACTAGTGAGAGGGACTATAATGCCTGGATTATAAAAATCTCCAACGATTTAGGAAATATGAGAGAGCCCACACATGACGACAAATCATGACGTATTAACAGTTCAGATCTTATAGTGTGTGGTGATCAACGAGACGATCAACTCAGCACACCACACACTAACCGATTCATTCACCAACAACCAGAGTCTCCACTATCACAACGTGTAATCTCACGCGGTCAGACCCGATTTAAGAGTAAACAAACATGACGGGCAAGCTAAATGTGGCTAGCTGTTAGCTGGTACATCCATTACGGTAAACATTTCGGTCTAGCTCCTTTAACACACACACTCGTGTTGTTGCCACAAATCAACAAGTTGGTCCTGAATTTATGACATCCATCTGACTTTATGCTTCGCGTTTGCTGTTGTCACCATGGTTACGTTTGTTGTGCTTCCTGCTTCAGTCAGCTTGCATCCTTTCATGTGACACGTGACAATCCACAGAGTCTGTGCTCGGCCGTCCTCAGTATTCTCTCCACGAAACAGGATTTTTGATCGTAAATATTGAACACGTTTCATATTTAGGATTTCAAATTGGGCCCACCTCGATCTTCTTCCGAGCAGATCGGGGAGGTTAAAATCACTCTTAACACACCTCACACTACAGGAGAATCTAGAAGTCAAAGAAAGTAGAGAAAGTCACTTTACGATTAACCATTACATTTACCATAATGAAATGAAACTTGGCCAAAATGTCTTCTAAAGGACTGGTGAAAGTTCCCCTTTACTTAATGAGTGGAGAATTGAAACAGCTAAATAGCAGAAGTGTCTCCATCCTTCTTTTGAGATGAAACAGACCCATAAACAAAAGATTAGCATCTGCATTATTCATCCTCATCATCTCTATTCTTGATATTCTCATGCTGTGGGATGTGGAGGCCGTTGAATCTTTCATGATCTTTTGATGTGTTTTGGTGGAGCCTTTATGTCAGACAGGCTCTTAAACCACACAAAGCAGGCTTCTAATTGGCTGTGTGTGTGTGTGTGTGGACAAAACGTGGGCAGCTGGACGGTCTTGAAAGGCAGACGCAAATCTGAACAACTCGGTGTTTATTGGAGGCACAAAGAGCTGCTGCGCTTTAGAGCTTTAATTAGAAATACTTCTATTATCTTTGCACACTCTTTATCATATTTATCTTTGCTTCAAACACGTTTGATGAGCAGATTCTTCAAAGGTCGAAGTGCTCAGGGAAGCAGACAGAGCAGCATGGATGTTTGGTAAATCCAATTAAAAAATTAAATTTAAAAAGTTTATAAAAAACATTGTAGGTAAATTTATGAACAGCATTGAGTCTAAAGCCTAGTCCACATGTAGGCGGGTATTTTCAAAAACGTAGGTTCTGCTTTACATTTTGGCCTTTCGTATGCAAACGTTGTTTTAGTTCAGTGAAAACACACCTTTTGGAAAACTCCTTTCAGGGTGAAGATTTTCCAAAACTCCATTTAAGGTGTTTATGTGTGGATGGGGAAAACTGCATTTTGGGCTTGTAACGTCACGCTGTCTGCAGGTTTTCCTTCGTTTGCTGTCATTGTGCGATGCTGTCACTTGAGTTTACATGAGATTAGTATAATGGCAGATGTACCCAAAAATACCCACCTACGTGTAGACTAGGCCCAACTTGTAAGATCTGAATCTGAATATTTATGGAATTTGTTTCAGATGCTTTAGTTTTAATCGATTAAAAGCTCACGTTGAGGGATCCAATGGACAAGGCTGGATGACTCGCTAGGCACAAGCCAGTGGGGCTAATTGGTATATTCCATAGACTGTACATACTGTATACGGACAAAGTCTCAGTGACGTCACACATTGGTTACTGAAGTCTGATCAGCCACGCCCCTTATAATGAATAAATCTTGTCCTTCACAAAATCAAAATATATGAGTTATGAAAAAAATAAATCACCCCCGTACAGTGTGTGTCTTTAAAGACTTGAGCTGTTCACACCAAAATAGTTTTTTGTACTAGACTGTATTGATGTACATTTTTGTCAAAATTGACATTTTTATATGGGTGTGTATGTGACTGCTGTGGCTTTTGGAGCCAGCCTCAAATGGACACTGGAGGAACTGCAGTTTTTTGCACTTCCACATGGCCTTCATTTTTAGATCCCGGGGGTTGCCACTTGGTATATTATCCACTTATATTATACAGATTGACTTGAAATTGTATTCAACATGATCACTTCAGGGAAGGGAAAAAAGGAAAAGCAATAAGCTAGCCCAGTGGCTCTCAAACTTTTGACATTGAATACCACCACAGAACATTTTTGGCTCTCAAAGTTCCACCATTATGGCCAACATTGAAATACAGTAGAGCATAGTTATTTAACTATACAGTTTACACAGGAGGCCATTTTATTCCTTATATGCATTTGATTTATTATTGGCCGCACACCATGTACTGCGGCCTGGGCCCATTCTCTGTGCCACTCAAAAAGAATCCAAACCGGATGTGACTCCAGTCATATTTTCTTACTGTTTAGCATCGTGTGCCGCTAGCAGGCGCACATCGCCTCTTACACTTGTGCTGAGTTCACTGTAGTTGACTTCGGTTTCTGCTGTGCTGCTCGACGAATCTGCCAAACTTTTCTTTACCACAAGAGGGATCCCGCATACCACCAGTGGAACTGGTACCACAGTTTGAGAATGAACGAGCTAACCCATGAGCTCACTTATTCTTCAGCCTGTATTGTGTTTGATTCCTCATCCATGAGTTAGGGGGGTTAAAGGGAGAATTTACTGAAGGAGCTGGCTTTTATAAAACTTTGATTTGAATAAAAAATAGTCACAAAATAAATTGAACAAGAACCTTAATGTGACAATAAGACTTCAAATTTATTTTTTGAAAAGAAGAAAAAGGGTTTCATTAGGGTACGTGAAAAACAGTAGCTTCAGATAATTAATGTATATACAATCACTCAGAGACAGAGGAAACATCCTGCATACCAATGAAATACACTTTACAAGCTTTGTTTCGTGTGTGTTGTCTGTGTTTAATATTCTCCAATGGTTGAATTCTCCAAGGTATGTGCAGGGAAAACGAAACCTGTATCTGTAAAGTCTGTGAACCAACTTCAGTGTTTCTATCATAAAACAACGTTTAAACTAAATGTGTCTTTTTGTGGGAGTTGAATTGACATCATAGCTGCCTGAAAAATCATTTACAACACAAACCAGAAACAAAGAAAAGAAAAGAGACAGAGACCCCCAATCCCGCCCCGCGGTCTTTCTGTGAGCAAAAGAGGAAAGCTTCAAAATGTACAAGCACATTTTCACCAGTAAATCAATCAACTATGGGCAGTGAGGGTGAAATATGACGAAGCTAAAAAGACATGAGGAAATCAAAAAGTGTATATTACTAAATCAATTCATGAATAAGTTCTCATCAAAATTTACAAGTTTAGTCACAAATGTAAAAAAGTAATTCTGCCAAATGAAGCCTTAAGGCTCAAAGTCTTTGTTCAATGAAAAACAGGTATGTTCTCTGTTTCAAAGAGCTCACGGTGAGATCAACGCTGAATAAATCTGAAGTGTGGATTTGAAATGTGCAAACTGTTTTGGACCTCGGCATGTTTGACCTTTCAGTCAAACTTGTGTTGATGGTCTATAAGACATCTTTAAATGTCCTCAGCTCCTGATTGAACATCAGTAGGTGAACATAGGCACCGTGTTCACCTACAGTTTTTTTCCGGCGGCAGAAAACCGTCATGACAACAATCTGTTAACAATGGTCGCTGTTTGACCGACACTGCTCTGTTACTTTTTACTGAATGTTTTATATTTTAGATCGTTTTTTTACCCGATCAGACACGGAGCAAAGAAGATACGGGTACAAGACTCGATCTGTAGGTGGCAAAGCTACAGGGAATATCATACATTTGGAATAGAGTGCCAGTGACGTCAACAGTGCTTTTTTGAAAAGTTGAAAGATTTTAAACTTGAAGTGCTCGGAGCGGCCACACAAAAAAGTGTAAATAGTAAAGACACTGGGGGCCATGCTTTCTCTTTAAGCGGTCGCTTTCTGCTGCGAACGCTAGGTGGACCTTTCTATGTGTATGTGTCATTGGCTGCTGAAAAAGTTCTGTGTCCTGTCACATTTGAAAGAAATCAGCTGTTTTGTGTTCTGTTTTCTTGAATTACAGTACAAAGCAGATTATTCTGCAGCTTCCTGTTGGTACTTCCACGCCTGCAGAGTCAAAAGGGGGCCAGGTGATCTGACAGAAGAAGCATTAAAGACATCGACAGACTTGAGCATCTGCGTCGTTACAAACAACTCACAGAGAGCTGAGAAAATGGAGAGAGAGAGAGAGAGAGAGAGAGAGAGAGAGAGAAAGAGAGAGAGAGAGGATAAGACCTTTTAGTCAAGTAAGACGTTCATGAAAGGTCAACGTTCAGCTGAAACAGGATCACACTGTGTATCCACTACGAGTGAAGTGTTGATCTGTACACAGCTGTATCCATCACAATGTCCTGTAAGAAGTCAGGAGTGGTTCCTCTACCCAAAAACACTTCTAGTGTGTCTGAACGAGTTCAGCCAGTGCGTGTGTATGCAGTGGGGTTTATTTTTTCCTGTTAATGTTTGGTCCACCTTCCTGTCCTGACCGTAAGAAACCATCCAACCACTCTGGTCCTGTTTCTGAAAAAAGGATAGACCCCCCCTCAGACCGACGACTCAGCCGTCATTCACATCAGATGTCGGCTCCAGCTCCAGACTCTCGGCGACTTCTCCCATTTCGTCGAGCAGCTCTGTGAACGCCGGCCGTCTGAAGGACTCCACCTAAGAGTGGAGGAGAAGAATGTGACTCTGTAGCGTAGGAAAGGTTTAATATGTCATCCCGTCACTCCTCAAATTTCAGCATGTCAATGAAAACTGTGAGGAGTGTTGAGGTCGTAGCCTAGACGGCAAACACAAACTATAAAATGTTTAAACGATACAAACGTGAGGTGTGAGACTGAACTGGGTTTCAAAAAGAGAATCCAATGCAAGAGACAAAATCTGCATTCTTTCTTATTTCCTGTTTATTAGTTTATTAGTTTATTAGTATCATATTGTTCTTCATTGTGTTATTATCACTTTACACACTCAGTATCCATCCACTGCACATAGCTCTGCTTAAACATGTCTCCAGCTGTTAGTCTAATCACTGTAAACATATTTCTTTACTTTATCTATTTTTTTTGATATTTTTAGACTGTTTTTTGTCTACCTTGCACAGTCTTTGCTGTTCATTATTTTTGTTTTTATACTACTGCTCTTTGTGGCTTTGAATTGCCCCCTAGTAAACAATCAAGTTTTTTAAATTGAATTGCATTGAATTGCCAGCAGGGGGCGCCTCCACTGGTTGCAAAAGAAATCAGACTGTAAAAAAGTCACTACAGGACACTACACTGCATCTCAGTTGTAGCAACCAATTAAAAAGCATCCGAATACATTCATTAAACTACCTTCAAATAGATGATAGATGACTTCAGGTCAAGTTAGTTTTTTTTCATGTTTTCAACCATTTAGAAAATCTGTTTCATTCAACAAAACGAGAGCATGCGGTCACTTTTTTAGATCTGTTTTCTTTCTATGTAAACTCGTCTTTCTGCTTACCATGCAGCAGCTCGCTGCCAGCTCCAGGAGACTCTGAGGACAACCCGTCACCAGCTCCCTGAAAGCGTCCACATCCAGCCCATAGTCCTGAAAGAAATGAAACATTTATTGTTCACATTTTCCCTACAAAGAATTCTCAACACATCCTTGTACTGGAACAAAGGATGTTTGGGTCTCTTTCACAGCTTGGGATATGATCATAAGAGAACATACAAACATCAAATACACTGTTATTCACTTCCCCTGAGGATGGGGAAGATCATTCTATATTCATATGTCAACATTTCAATGTCCTGAAATCTAGTTTTATGATGATGTCAATGGACATGTATGACTGATGTATGAGTTTACTATTTTGTAACTGTGTAAGGACACGGTGAAGTCCAAAGCAAATATCCCGCTAGGACAATAAAGTCTATTTTATGGTATCGTTTTATGGTAAGGTTTATTTTTGGGCTTATTTGCAGAGGTAGAACAGTGGAAAGAGGTGGAAATCGAGGGGAGAGAGAGACTGGGGAATGACATGTGGGAAAGAAGCCACAGGTCAGATTTGAACCTGGGTCATCCGCTTTGAGGAGTACACCTCTGAACATGGGGCGTGCACTAACCGCTTGGCCACTGGCGCACCATCGTGTTGTATCTGGTGACACTTTGGATTGATTCTTTTATGTGTTTTATGTTAAGTTTAACTTACCAACTTTTTTACAGGATTGCTGTGCATAAAGGTAGAGTCAGTAGAAATGTTCGTTCCAGCTTATAAACATAACATTCAAACTGAGCCCCTCCTCCTGGACTCATCGCCCGCTGAGGCGCACACTCACTGCAGGACTTTGCATGTACGTTTACTGATTGTACCTACACTGCAAGCTACTTGAGAATATCACATTCGTTTGTAATGGAAAAGCCAATAATTTAGCACGCTAGCATAAGCTAATTGTCCAACAGAAAGCTGGCCAACTCTGCGTCCGCGGGTGAAAGCCCTCCCTAAAGTTCATTGTTGTTTTGAAACCACCTTTAGCTGCTTGGCATTTTGCTTCTATATTTTCTCTTTTAATGCGTTATACTCGCTATTTCAAATGGCGTCTATAGTCGCTGAATTTTATCCACTCTCAAACTCACTCCCGTGCTGTCTTTGGCTGGGGGGGGGGGGGGAAACACACCCACTCCCCTCCCATTAACATCAAGGCAGAAGGACAGAGTCTCTGCAGAAACAGTCACCACCACACACCTATGGAGGCCCAGAAGGGATGATTGAGTAGCTTTACTTCTCAAAAAGTCTATATTTTTAAGTTCAGTTTTTAGTAGGGCTCCACCATAGCCTGAGTGACGTCAGCCATCCTTTACTGCGGGGGGCTTTGGAAGCCCATTGATAACTGTCGCCATGCTGGAGAGGCTGTCTCAAACTAACTGGTCTCAGCTTTTCAAATGTAACAACTAACTGCTTTGTATTTTTACTGTTTGAAACGATTGATGAAAACTTTTCCAACCAGTGTTGAGACATCAACAACAAGGGTGTGTGTGCATGTTTATGATTGTTTTCCCTTTGGCTGCTGAGATCATATGTTTCCTCTACCTGTGTTCGGGGAAGTATCTCCGGGTCAGCTGGGATCCTGGCCAAGATTTCACAGAGCACAATGCCGAAGGAGAAAACATCCACCTGGAACAAGAAAGATATGACATCATCATTTATGTTTAACATATTAGGGCAGCAGTAGCTCAGTCTGTAAGGACTTGGTTTGGGAATCGGAGGGTTGCTGGTTCAAGTCCTGGCACCAAGTCCAGAAGTTGGTCTGGTAGCTGGAGAGGTGCCAGTCCACTTCCTGAGCACTGCTGAGGTGCCCTTGAGCAAGGCACCAAACCCCAAAGCTGCTCTGGAGCGCTCTCTGTGGGCAGCCCCCTCACTCTGAGACCTCTCCATTAATGTTCATAGGATCCTGTTTGTGCATGTTCATTAGACAGAGTGTAAAATTGAATTTCCCCTCACGGGATTAATAAAGGATAAATTATTTTATTATCCCCCTGGCTATACGAGTGTACAAAATTTTCCTTTTTCAGCTCCACACCTTTCTTAAAGAGACAGCCTCTGATTGGACACTTTAATGCTTATCTTTACTCATCAGCATCAGCAATATATCAGTAAAATGGCACCTTAAAGTTTACACTGACTCACTTAAAACCTGCACTAACCTCCTTTCAGACACTGCTGTACCGTGCAACATAACTCCTACTGAGCAGCTGGAGGTCTACTCTAATATGTACAGGTTTCATTTTACCGGTGGTTTTAAACTGTTCACACAGATGAAGCCACCAAAAATGTCCACAATTTCCATGGGGGGACCTCGGCAGTACCGTGCTGGGACCGTGACTATAATGAGATCCCCCACGGTGACTTAGTCGATGAAAGTGTCATTTGGAAAGTGAACCTGTCCACCAGGAGGAGCAGTGATTATGGAAGCTAAAGTGACTGCTGCATCTGAAAACAGCTGTGTGATTCTGCATGAGTCAGTCTACAGTCTCTCTCTCTCTCAGTAAAAGCGTACTGTATCAACACCATCCTAAAAGTAATCCTAATTGTAACAACCTAACTTAAAGAGAATCTCTAAAGAACAGCAGGACTTTGGTACCTTGCGGTCGTACGGCTCTCCTCGGAGCATCTCGGGGGCCATCCAAAAGGCTGAGCCCACCAGTGACAGCTTCCTGGCAGGGTCTTTGACCGGCAGCTCCACCACCTCCCTGGCTAGGCCGAAATCAGTCACCAGGGCCTCACGACCCCGAGGCGTCACTCTGATCAGACAGTTCTGGAAAGAGCACCAACAGGTGACACATGAAGGTTAGCAACAGGGTACACGAGCATGGGTCAGTCCTGTCAGTCTAAGGCCGTTAGCTGAAGGTGATCACAGCAGTGCTTACATCCAGTACAGCATCAGCTGACCAATCATAATAAACTCTGTCTGCTGTAATGTTAACCTACAGTATTCAGAACACCTGGCAGAGTGATACACACTGAAAAGTCTATCTATCTATCTATCTATCTATCTATCTATCTTCTCTGATGTACGTCACTTTGGATAAAAGCGTCTGCTAAGTGAATTGTAGAATCTATCTATCTATCCATCCACCCATTCATCCATCCATCCATCTGTTGTTTTGTAAAACAATCTTAAATCAGAAGGCACATTTAGAGCATTGACCTCAAGAGCAATACCAATTACTAAAACAAACTAGAATCATGTTTTGTACAGTAAAATCTGTGCAGTTAACTGTAATGGTACATAAAGTGGAGCTTACATTATACATACAGTAGGCCCTTCATACACCCATACACACAAACACATAAATATCAAGATCAAGAGTCAAGATGGTAAATGAACTTGAACTTGTATAGCATGTTTCTCGTCTTCTGACTCCGCAAAGGTCACACCTACACATTCACACACTGATGGTAGAGGCTGCTGAGTAAAGTGACCATCAGAAGCAATCTATTCATACACATTCACACGCCGCTGACGAAGCAGCAGGAGCAACTTGGGGTGAAGTGTCTTGCCCAAGGACACATCGGACATGTTGCTGCAGGAGCTGGGGATCGAGCCCTGACCTTCCAGTTTAGAGACGATTGACTCTACCACTGAGCCACAGCCGCCCCCATGTGAGAAACAAGTCCCCCCTCTTTCTGTACTTTTCTGTACGGAGCCCCTGAAATAAGTTTTGAGGACTTTAGGGGCTCCGTAACTCAGTCTGCTTGGTGACTGAAAGAACAAAAAAAGATGATAGTGTTGTGTTTCTATTTTTGTATTTAATTTCACTGTTTACGATCTGCTTTGTTTTGACGAAGAGTCTTGTAGTCTGACAAACGCATGTAATTCAACTGCAGTGTTCTTCTTTGGCCAGCAGAGGGCGGTGTTGGATTTGATATCTGCAAACACAGACTATATCAACAGGTCCTATGTCCACTTGTATTTATTTTTTAAGGTCTTGATTTTAAAATACTCTTTCATCAATAAGCTTGACATCCAGCTCTCTCTCTTTAGACTCGACTTATCAGTGGACTCAATAGGATCTGTTATCAGGACCTTTCCACTGCACTAAATAATTCACAGGGACCCCCTTTTGAAGGTACTTGGTACACAACAAAGACTCGGTGTGGCACCCTGTGTGGCTTCTGACGGGCTAACTGTAAACTGATTTTCTAATAACAGTCTGTGATCTGTGTGGAAAAGAAAATCCATCATGGTTCATAGATTTTACAGGCTCAGAGCTGGAGGTGTGATGAGAGGCCGACTGTGGGAGGGCTTCAGTTACATAACAACAGTGGGCGGCCACGAGTGCGTTTTAGGGTTCTTGTGTGCAATTCATATGTGCCATGTTAATGAATGTGTGCGCACTCTGTTTATGTGTTGGTGACTGCACCTAACAAAAGTGTCTGGAAGAAAATACAGACAATACAAATGTGAGTGTTTGCATGCATGTAAATGTAGTTTACAGTGTGTGTGTGTGTGTGTGTGTGTGTGTGTGTGTGTGTGTGTGTGTGTGTGTGTGTTTGAGGAAGTGATGTATCAGCATCTGGCTGCCATTGCACCAGAAGCCTTTTCCCATCCAGTGTAGCCTGTCATTAAGAAGCTCTCCGGGGACAGGGCTTCAGTCCCAGACCTCTAAATTTAGCTCTGGCCCTCTCTGCCAAGGAAAGCAACAGTTTGGGAAACAAAAAAAAAAATGGAGCACATTAGTGAGAACTGAGAGGGAGAAAAAAAAGCAGCTTGTAAGCACTAATTAAAAGGGGCCTCAACTTTTCCAGGAGCTTAAACTCTGCAACAAGTCAACTTGCAGGGTTACTGAAGCGTATTCACAAAGGCAGCGTTTGTTCAGGCGGGCTCTGGAATGCCATTTGCCTTTTGGACGACTGTAAATGTTGTCATCAGAGGCTTCAGCCACTTTACTGGGTGTGCAGTGGAAGCAATTGATTGTACCAGAAAACCTGAGAAGAACATGTACCGAGAAGAAGAACTGAATTTAGAGGGAAAGTGGTGTCTGTTAGAGGCACACATTCCTGGAACAAATTACCAGCACATATCAGGGACTGTGACAACTACTGAACCTTAAAAACAGAACTCAAACATTGGTTAAAAACAAACTAGTCATGTAGGCATATATAATATTTGTATCGTATATAGCCTCAGGACCCATCACCAACTACTTAAAGGACCAATTTATAAGAGATGTGTAGTGAATTAAATGATGAAGTAATCTTACTATATGATCAATAAGGAAACATGCTCTGTTGAAGTGATGTCTTCTCTGACAACAATGCAGCAGCCAGTATGTCCTCCTCTAACTTTAGATTCTGCTCCTGAATGCTCTGGATTTGTTTGGACCAGAGAAGGTAGGCGGTTTAAAGTCACCCCCCACACGGCCGTTTTGGACGCCCTTTAGTTTGCCAGATATGAGAGCAGTTATCAGGTCAAACCAACAGGTGTTGCAGTGATGGAAGCAGCAAGAGAAGTAGTTCAGATAGAAGTGATTGTACTTGACCTAAAAAGCCTCAGCATGTTTCTAATAAGCTCCACGAGCAGAAACGTGCTCAAACTAGGATCAATATTGGAGATGCTTTTGAAAAATGGAGAGAGGTTAGAACACAGAAAGGTTTACAGACCCATGCAGAGCTGGATAAACACTGAAGCTTCAGTGTTCACCACATGGTGACCTGTGTGAGCATTGACTCTAGAGAGGGGGGGGGGACAGCTCTCTACAATGTTTTGAATCTGGACTGCAGTACTCATTTTAAACTCTGGGTGTCAGAGTTACATACTGCTCATTTAAGCTTCATCAAAATGCATCAAAAATGTGTGAAAGCATGGTTGGCCAATATTCCCCGGCTTACATCCAATATTTAACATTTATGCATGCTGTGTGAGAAAGCATTGCTTGTTTACAGAAAATAATTTATCATAATAAATACAGACTTCTTCTATGTGCCCATTGCACGGCCCTAAAAGTGTTAAAAGCCTCTTTTTTATGCCTTTATTTTAGAGGCATGGACAGTGGAAATGGGCCGGAAATGAGGAGAGAGAGAATGGGGAATGACATGTGGGACAGGAGCCACAGGTTGGATTTGAACCTGGGCCTCCCACTTGGAAGACTCCAGCTTCTGTTCATGGTAACTATGCTACCAGCGCTCTAAAAGCCTCTTTTTGAAGATTTTTTTAAATCTTATATTATTTAACTTTGCGGTGTTTGTGTGCAAAATGGTTGTTTGTTTGGTTGACTTGTGTTTTGTTAAATGACTCTTCATCTAAAGAAGATATCTTGGATAAATAAATTTAACTAACTACTAAAACATGTCAAGTAAAGCTTTAACAGTTTCTCCAAATCAATAAAACCCACCCATCCAATCTTTGTGAATGATCAACCTTAAGCACTGAAGCCCGAGAGTGACGTAAATCCACTTTGGCTGCTGTGGGAATAAAGTGAACGGATGAAAGGGGCCAAATGAGTGGCCTCAGGGTGACGTGCGTGGTAAGAGGGTTTGGGTGCAGAGAGAGAAAGGGGCCCCATTCACACACAAATCCAGGGTGCATGAAAGATTCAGCAACTTATGTGTGAGACGGCAGCACCTAGTGAGCAACCATCTATTAACACAACAATGGAGCGAGTGTCATGTTGCCTTGTTTCTTTGCATTAGTGGCTGATTTTCTGTGAAGCCTGGCAACCAAACAGACCACACACACACGCATAACTTAAAGATATTTGAATGATGATCTGCATTTCTGAACTCTTATCTTCGGGTATATTTTAATATTAGGTTTGTATTTATATCAAATCTGTTTTTTTTCCCTCTAAATTAATTTAGTTTTTGCAACTTTAATCTGCTCATCTTATCCACAAAGGCGCACAGACACAAACACAAGGACTGTGTCTCGTTTTGAAAAGTTCCACTCGCTTATTAAAACAAAGCCATGAGAAGCTTCAGTCTTGATAGGAGCAAGGCACCTCGATCGGTGCATTTACAAGACAGACAGTGGACCTTCTCCCTCTCTTTCTCTCTCTGAAGCTGATATGATTCTGCTCTCTTGGATTTTCTGTGTCTTATCTCGCTGCAGGAATTGAGAGGGAGATTTTAAACTGTAGTTTTGTTTTATTGCACGGAGCCGCCGAGGGCTCAGGCTCAGTTTCAAACTGTGCGCTCAGTGAGGTCCTGCACTCTCTCTCTCCCCCGCTCTCTCATCTGCTGTAATTTTGTGTGTGAGTGCGCCCATATTGAACTGGTAGCATGGTGTATCCCCTGTGATGTCTCAGTGGTGGTTGCTGTGAAAGCAGCTGATGACATCTTGACTGAATCTTGACTAATCCCTGAAGGGAAACTTGTCTGGCACATTCGTGAGAGACAGAGAGTGAAGGTCCTTACCTTGGAGTTCAGGTCTCTGTGGTAAATGTTCTTGTAGTGCAGGTAGATCATCCCTCTGCTTATATCACAGGCCAGGTCCACTTTTTCTCTCCAGCACAGGGGGACGTCTTTCCTGGCCAGCAGCTCCTCCAGACAGCCACCGTTTACATACTGAAACAGACAATATTTACCAGGATTTACACTGTATCAACAAATATAGCATTAAGCTAAGCTAATACACAAATTATGCACCAGACAAACACACTTTTTGTGTAAGTGACCCCCTTGAAAACGAGATGGTGCATGTCAAGGGGCTATCCCTAAAAAATTTCAATTCAATTTCAATTTAAAAAAAAGAATGTGCTCACCAACTCATTAACACTATCAACTCATATCACTGTCATCTGTTTTTTTTTACAATTAACACATACAGGTTGTGAGGCGTACAGCCATGATGACTCACAACCTGAAAGAAAAAATGATTGAAGAGCATTTCATACAATCGAGCGTTTGCCTCACCTCGAGGATCGGGTAGAGTTTGTCTTCTTTGACACAGATTCCCAGATATCTAGAATGAGAGAAAACATCTTTTAAAATGGGTTCTTCTTACTGATGTGTGTCATTATTAGGTGATTTTACCAATCATATCAATTATGTGTTATTGTGAAGAACGCATTTATTTAGCCGCACTCGTCTCCTCTGTCGCCCCCCGGTGGTGGCGCAAACTACCTAACTCTTTCCTTTGCACCTTCAAGAAAAAGCCCCAGCTCTTTCATAAACACCTATGCACTCAAGTAGTTGTATATTATATATTAACTTTAAATACTTATGAAAACTGTGCTAAAGCTGTTTGTTTGCACTTCCTGACGTTGTTTCCTCCTCTCTAGATCCTTGCTTGTGTTATTCTTGTTCTCTGTACGTCGCTTTGGATAAAAGCATCTGCAAAGTGAATTGTAACATTCTTACTATCTGATGTTCGTCACTTTGGATAAAAGCGTCTGATAGATGAATTGTAGAATTTAGATTCATAGCTCTTAATAAGAGTTGCATGGTGGTGCAGTGGTTAGCGCTCTTGCCCGCTTCCATCGCTGCAACACCTGTTGGTTTGCCTTTTGCCTGGCAAACCGAGGGGCGTCAAGACTTTTCCCTTTTCTGCTGCATATTTTTATCCTTTTTATTTGCATTGATCTCACAGGTTTACACCTCATCACGGTTAGCTTTAAAAGCTCAAATTGAGCCACAGTGCTGCATTGAGTACTGGATAAAATGTCTTTAAAAAACACAAAGTACACACACACTTCGTATTTGGTTTTAGCCTTCGCAGTGTGAGCATGTCATTGTGTATCAGGCACTATCAGTATGGATACTGCTTCCATCAATCTGCTGTAGTATAAGCTCCATCCTGATTTGAAAAGCTGCCCTCTGATAACCTCACTGCTGTGTGACCTTGCTAAACGACTAAAAACAGGTTGCTTGGCCAAACATTATGTCTGCCTGGCATCACATGTTACATAACAGCTGTAGGTGGCAGGGCCGGTGTTAAATAGCACTGAGGTCTCATTTTGATATATGCTGACTGCAGTCACAGCACCGAGGCTGACGGTTATGTTGCAACCTCCAGCAGGCAGCATTGTACATGCACAATTTAAAGGACTACTTCACCGGTTGAAACATGAATCTGTATTGACATTGGGTCATATATGTAGTAAAGAAATACATTTTGAAGTTGGTGCCTTCTTGACCGAGAAAAGGCAGAAAGTGTCTTTTTGGCTCATGTGGATGAAAGACAACAACTCCCAGAATGCACAGCACCACAGACGTGTATTGCAGACCTCTGTCTTGTTTCAGTAACTATTAACATGAGCGTGATGTGAGGAAAAAGAAGACTGTGTATGTTGTCAGACTCTTTTGCTGTAGTGAAACTGAACCTGTTCGATGAACCAAACATCTTTTGGCATGACGTGGGACATGTAGGTTCTGTTACCTGACGATATTTGGATGGGAGAGTTTCTGCAGCAGGCTGATCTCTCGTACAATGCTGTCTTGGTCCACGTCGTTTTTGTAGATCTTCACCACCATCACCTTGCGGTTGGTGCTGTGCATCACCTGAAGGTCATCGGTGTCCATTAGAAGCAAGTCAGTGGAACAAGAGACAGGAGAAGCAGTTCTAGCAGCTCTGCATTTTGTAAATTTTTTAAGGTTTCAAAGAGTTTAATCGCAGTTGTGTTTTCATATGTCGTCAATTTGAACATGAATCCACAATCAGGACACAAATCTCGCTCAAACTGGACCAACAAATTCTGACTTCCTCAATCACTCATCCGTCCTGTGGCCTCTTTGTAGCTCATTTAATCCGGGACAAAGCCTAAATGTATGTAAATCAGCTCCTCCTGTCGCTCTCCATAGCACCGCAGTCACATTAGGAGTTATATAAGATCTCAGCTGGGGATGAACGTCGCGCCCCCATGGTCTCAAAAGCTGGTGGGCCAATCGTGGAATGGTGAGAATGTCCCAATTAGTACTGAAACAAAGCAAGCTTTTATGGCGGCTCACACGTAGGCAGGCAACAAGGCAAAGGGGGGGGGGGTTGGGGGGCAGAAGGATTACCTTGTAGACTTTGGAGAAGAAGCCACTCCCGATGAGCTCAGCTGTAAAGTTCTCCCAGAACTCCAGCTTGCGGACGGCTGTGCGGAGCTTCTGCCAGCGGTCCACATGGTAGTACTTGTCTGAGGACTCACCCAACAGGGTGGGACTGCTGGGCTCCGAGGACACGTCCACATCACACATCCTGGAGATGTCCGCTGGGAGAGTAAAGACAATTTATGTCATCTTTATGGCGAATTAAAAAAGCCCAAATTCACACGAAAAAAAAAGGCATTTACATGAGTATATACTGGTAGAGTCCATTTTTAGTGTCATCAGACACTGCCTTTGACCTTAAGAAAACAAATACAGAAGACAGATCCATGCTATTTGTTTAGAAGTTGATTTATTATTATTGTATTACAAAAGGTAATACTTTGTTATGTGAAGGGATTGGCTTTAAAAATGTACAGTTCACTTAACCCTCTGTAGGATCTGCTGTCCTTTTCTTTATCTCACTAAACTAGTCTACTGATGTCAGCTATACTAACGGGATGTGATTACGCATCACTGTGACCTGCGCAGTTAATAAATTTAATGTGTTTTTGTACCTTTTACTTTTTTACGATGTAGAATGACTTGGAGGGGGAGGCTAACTGGCTTACCCGGTGATTGTTTTGTCCTTTTTTTAATCTGTAAATTTCAGCCAAACTACGTTCAGTAAAAACTCAATTTGGGGTGTTTTTTTCATTTAATAAAATATAGCAAAAATCAGACCCTAAGGGATGAGAAGTAGGGCCCGATACGGGATGTTGAGGGCCGATACTGATGTTAGGAAGAGAAAAAAATCTGATTCCGATAAATCGCTGATGTCTGTCTTCTAGCTATGTTGAAACTTTAGAGATAGATGGATATAGATAAACACATTTATGGCGTTGATCCCTCAAATGCAGTCATCAAACACATGCAGAAAAGAATTACAATATAACGAAGCCAAGTAAAGAAAAAAAGAAAGGAACTGCACGTGCATCACCGCATGACACTCTGTGGAGATTTATAATGCTTGTTGTAATCCATATAGCACCCTCTGCTGGTGAAAGAGAACTGCTAGCTAATACAATGAAACTCAGATGAAATTATATTTAACTGGTGAATAAATCTAATAACATCACATATCTGCAATAAAATAAGCCGATACCAATTGTCACTTGATACCATAATATCGGCGGATATTATCGGTCGGGCTCTAATGAAGAGGTGCAATAACTGAAGGAATTTTTTTTTTAAATGTAACAAGATGGAAGGGCCATAACATCATAAAACAGTGAGGCTGAGTTTTGTTCACACAGAGTTAAAGATCAGAGTCTATTTAGAAAAAGAGGAAGGCTTGTTGCACATATAGACCAGGGTATAAAATCAGCTGCTTAACTGATCACACCAACACAAAAGACAAAAGAGCAACGTATTAAACAGAACGAAAGCGACCCTGGATGAAAGAGAGGCTCACAAAAGGTCTAGTTTTACTCTCCTACTTGTGAGCTGCATGAAAAGGGGAGAGTGGCTCCACTTTATGGAGAGAAACAAAGACAGTGAATAATGTGAGGTTGAAAATAGAGGCGAGATATCAGGGCTGGTCATCAACACAGATTCACCTTCCGGAGAGGTCAAGAGGGCTTTTTGTTCACAAGAGAAGGTTTCATCTAATTTCTGACGAGGACGTCTGACAAAACACAGATTGTAAATCATAGAGAGAAAGAGATGGCTGAGATAAATGTATCAGCTATCGGAGCTTAAGCTTATCTGGTTTTTCCAAACAATTGCAGCATTATGCTCCAAGTCCCGCGGGTTTACTCTGAACTTGGAAAATTCGCTTTTAGCTTCTTAGCTCCAAAAATGTGGAACAATTTACAACACTGTCTCAAGATTGACACTCTTGTTTCTCTTGGGCAGATTAATGAAATGATCTCAGACCACTTTACCACAGTGTGTAATTGTTTGTAATGAGAATTATCCTGACCTGTCTTTATTGTTTTATTTGTGCCCTTTTTGTTTGTTCTTTTGATCTGTATCTCAACATCATTGTAGATGAGGGAAACCGCAATGATTTCCGGACTTAAATAAAGGTTTGAAATTAAATGAAAATGTCCATGACATTATAGATAAACAACATGTGTAAAGAGAACACATGTTGAAATATATCAGCAGTTCACACAATATAGTTATAGAGAAGACAACATCTATGGCTCCAGCCCTTTAATGGTGCACTTATGAAGATAGTTTATTGCACTGTATTTTAAAGGTCACATATTCTCTTCCTTTTCAACCAGTTTAAATAAGTCTCAGAGCTCCCAAAAACATGTCTGTGAAGTTTCTTGTTCTAAATCCACTCTGATCCTGTATTTGATTATGTCTATAAACCCCTCTATTTCAGCCCTGCTCAGAACAGGCTGTTTCTGTGTCTGTACCTTTAAATGTAAATGGGCTGAGTCTGACCACGCCCCTTCTATGGAAGGGCTTGGATGGCTCGGGCTTTCTCGCTCCATGCCCTATTGTTAACAGTGAAAAGGCAGAAAACACACCTAGCTGTGGGAGTGTCACCCACCTGGGGGAGGGGTCACTGCCCTTTGTGATGTCATGAAAGGAAAATCTGCAAACAGCCTGTTTGAGCACACATTTTCTGAAAAGTGGAGCACGTAAAAGACAGAGAGGATGGAATTTTCTCAGAATTGGCGGGTTTATAGACAGACTAGAGACATATATTAGTGTTGTGAAAAAACATGGTTAACTGTATTTTAAATAATATGTGACCTTTAAAAGCCAAACAAATACAAACCCCACACTTAAGCTCCTCAGAACCTCAACTCCCTAAAGTAACACTCAGTACGATAACATCCACAGTTAAGTTAAGCTATGGTTACAGCTCGATTGGGTCATTTAATTGGACAAACATCAGGGGAGAAACGACTTATTGATGGATGACCAACCCCGATATGGAAGGTGGTGATATGCACCCTCTAAATTAGTTACTACTTGACCTTCTTCTGGTTTACCTATCAAGGCACAAACCAAGTTGATGAATCCTCATTGTGTATTTTCCCTCCATTCATGTATGTCAATATGTTAAACTCCCTCAGCTGACACAACGTAAAATGTCTCTCCTGGTTTTTCCAAAAACACACAAAATGGGAAGCTATCTGGCTGTCAGCTCATGTTTGCAGAGTTTGCAGAATCACACACCGTCGTTAAGCACCTGCAGAAAAAAACTATAAAGGATTCTAAGAGTAAAAAAACAGAAAGATTAAACCAGGTGAGGAGTATCCAAACACAAAATTGTCACAGCTACTCCTAAAAACACAAAGTGTGCATGCCTTCCTTACAGAGGATGTTGGGTGTTTGAGTAAGTATTGAAGAGAGCAGCAGTATATGAATGTCACCGTTATGCGGCTACCTTTCTCTGATGTTTCTATGCAGCTAGCTGGTTTGCTTTGGCTTGTGAATCAGAATCAGAATCAGATTTATTGGCCAGGTATGCTTACACACACAAGGAATTTAACTTTGGTGAACTGTGCTCTCTTATGTACAGATACAATATCAAACATCTATATGCAAAAGATGCTAAAGTAACATGATAATAAGAAAAAAGCAGTTATGTGACAGATGGGTCAATTAACATGGGGAAGTTTTTTTTACAGTATTTACATAAATAAAGGACACAAGTGAAGGACTCATGTGCAGCGAGCACACCAAGACCTCAGGAAACATGACTACAGTAGCTTGTTTTCCACTTCACCTTACTTACTTACATACATAAATGACGTGCTCACTTTAATTTCCTCGGTTGCTCTGTTTAATTAAATCTCATAAAAGGGGAAGTTTTGACACTCCACTTTCAGCTCTAACGCCGTCAGCAAGAAACGCTTACAGTGCAGTCCCTGTCATGTAGCGGCCACTTTCTCCGTCTCTCTACGGTCTCTTTTCTAGTTTTCATCCCACATCTCTCTGCCTTTCTCTTTCATAAACGGGAAGCTTTTTGTTCAACACACTTAGCAAGCAGCAAAATGTCAAACTTCCTAATTTGTAACACTCACTGTAATCACTTTTCCAACAAGGTCAAAACAATTACAGTACAAATCACAATGTTTCTTTACACTGGCTCAGTGGTAGAGCCGGTGGAATCACAAGGTTGGCGATTTGACAGACAGATATGTTGTTGAAAACGTGCTTCATATCAACAGTGGAGTCTGTCGTCTTCTGAGAACTAATAAGTAAAATAACTACTTATTGAAAATGGCTACAATCTGATTTATAATGTGCGAGATGTTTCCTCTCCCACTGCCACAGCAACACTAAACAATGTGAATATTAATACGAGTATAGAAGCAAATAAAAAGTAAGGCTTAAATCACGTCCACAAGTAACTAGTACACGTAGTTACTCAGTAGCAGTGTTTGTCTCTCTGAAGTGTTACAATCGGTCAGTTATTTATTTTGTCAGTAAAACTTTAAAAATGAAAACAGGGATGCCGATAGCCTAGCGGTTATGTGCCCCATGTACGGAGGATATAGACCTTGTCCCAGCGGCCGTGGGTTTGAATCATGGCCTCGGCCGTTTCCTGAATGTCAACCCACACTCTCTCCTTCCTCCTGTCTCTCTTCAGCTGTTCTAACTTATAAAGACAAAACATTTAAAAAAAAACAAAAGAAAGCATTTAAAGGCAGGATTGGTCATTTTTCGAAAACTAGCGTTCCCTCAGTGCTCCGTCTGCACCCACCCCCTCCCCTCTGTGCTCCCTCAAAAGCCACGCCCCCTCACTTACATGAATGAGCGCCATTGGTCCAGAAGCAGACATCAGCTCATGCTTTGACTGGGGCTCGTGCACATAGGGGTAGAGAATGATCAGGGAGACAGGGAGGCGTCTGATTGGTTCATCAGATTGGTACCTCGTGGCAGACATTGGTCGAAGTTTTTACAGACTTACAACTGATACAGATGACGGATTTTCTTTGTTTTGTTTTCTTTGAGAACATGAGTTATTAATTTCTGTCAGGACCTGAAGACAATTTACACCAAAATCCTGCTTTTAAGTAAGTCATTAACAAAAGAAAAACCTCTTTACAAAGAGAATTGCAATGTTGACAGAATGTTTCCTTTATGTATCCTTCAGTTAAAAAGCCTAAAACACTCACTTATTGCAGTTTCATCTTTCTTTTCAGTTCTT